GGGTGGACTTAGTGTGAACAGGGCATGGTGTCCTGTGGACATATTCTTGTTTATATTTTTTTGCATTAACAAAGAGAAATGGGATTCACAAAAACAATGTATTTCGGTCTACACATACATTCCCCATATGTATGAAAAAGTGATGTTCTGTTGGTCATGTGTTTGTGCTTTTAGGAGAAAGGTATATATATAGTTTGACAATTATTTTTTCTCATTTGCAGGTGAAAAAAGTGGAGAACCAAAGACATCTATTAAAGAACAGTTGACAGCTCAAAGAGATCAACAAAACTCCAATTTAGAAAGGCAACTGCCCTCCACCTCAAGTGGTGAAGGACAAAGATCCTCTACTTCCAGTGGTCAAACACAAATACAGTCTACCTCCAGTGGTGAAGGAAAAGGGCCCTCTACCTCAAGTGGTGAAGGACAAGGGTCCTCTTCCTCCAGTGGTCTATTACAAATGCCCTCAACCTCCAGTGGTGAAGGAAAAAGACCCTCTACTTCCAGTATTGAAAGACCTGGAGAGGAAAGGACACCAGACAGTGAAAACCATGAAGATATACCTGTTATAGACAGACCTTCAAGTCGCTTGTCACTCGGAGACTCTGCAGTGATGAAGCAAAGTAAGTAACTCTTTTTATATTACACATTATTTATATGTCTTCATCCCAAATTTTTTGCTTTGCTATGTATTGGATTTCTAGTGAGTGAAACAACAAATATTGCAAAAGATTTTTTCACCCTGCTTCAAAGGACAGAGGTATATAGCTTCATATGTCATGTCAGTGTTCTCCATTTTTCACTAAGGTAAGGTGGGTGTTGTGAAAAAATTACTTGCAACCGGGTGTTTTTTTGTTTTGTTTTAACATTTCCACCCGGTATTTTACTGTTGGAATTGTCACAAAAAGAAGGATTATTATTGTATACACATTTAATAAAATGGAAATGTTCTTCTGCTATCACTGCTAGCCATTCATTTGACAAATTAGTTTTGCAGATCTCGGATGTGGCTTTTGTAGGACTCCCTCCTCCTGCATATGCATAGCTTATCGATCCAAGTTTCTGTCCTGTTCCTCGCTTTAGTGCTGTATTTTTGGAACACAAAGCAGTAATATCCTCCTTCTGTGACGATTAGCCATTTAAAGTCCTGTTCATATTTATCAAATGAGGGGTAACCTCTCAATGTAATGACTATCTCTTTTCTGAGGGGTACATTTAACGAGATACAAATGAGCACATATTTATTTTATTTACAGAAAATTTCCCCAAAGAACTATACATCTATTTGGTATTATATGGTCAAAACATGTCCAAAAATTTTGTAATATTCCAGGACTTGTATCTACTTTATCATTAAAAATAATTTGGCCTAGAATTTTCCTTATCACCATCGTCATCTGCCAGTCTCTTCCCCCGATTAATGAAAGAAAACATTGAAATTTGATGATCCGCCATTTTTGTCAATGAAAACAATCAATGAGGCGCGATTAGTATTTAAATTTTTACGGTGCGGAACCGAAAAAAATCCGGAATTTGAAAAAAGAAGGTGGTCGGCACACCCGGCTTAAATGCCGAATGGAAAACACTGCATGTATGTCTATCCCATAAAAAAAAATTTATGTTTCTCTTGACAGAGACTTAATAACAAAGCTTCCTGAAAAAGATTTCTAGCTTGAAGTGAACAACCTTGTGTCCATTTTTACATTCATCAATTATCAACTTCTGATCACGGATTACTTACATATAATGGCCGTGTATAAAATTTAAATAGCATTGTTCTCAGAAAGTAGAAATTAAAAGCATCCTGTAATTGGTATCTAGCTTTAGTTTATTTGAGCATGCATTTTTGTGTGATGTGTTTTCACATTCATCGCTGACAAACTTTGTTAACATAATACTAATAGCAGCAGTATCATAATTGTGCAATAATTTTCAGTTCATTTTTTCAATGCAGTACTATAGTAACACAAATGAAGGCTTAAATTATAGTTTTCTCTCAATAAAAAAGATTTTTTAAGACATATTTTGCAATAACAACAAGGGAGTGACTGTCAATAGTTTTATACATATTTTCTTTAAATATCAGGGATAAAATATTAACACTAGTTTTATTTCAGTGCAGAAAGATGTAACTGACATTAAGAAGGCCGTTACAACAATTCTAAATACTCTCATTGTTCAAGAGGAGGTGGTTGTAGAGTCTGTAGAGGACTTTATTCCTGAGAAAATAAAAAATCAAGAAATGATGGACCAACTGAATGAACAATTAGAATCTGATGAGGAGTTCAGGAAAAAACTGGTACATGTACTTTTATTTTGCCAAAATAACAAATACTTTAAATTCAGAATTGTTTGCAAGCATTTGTTATGCTATTATTATTTATTGAAAATGGACAAAAACCTGAGTTTGATTAATTTGATTTCAGATTGCTGCATACAATAATAGTGTCAAAATTGAAAATGCAAGTTTTTATATTGGATTGATATAAAATCACAAAATTTTTAGAATTTACAGCAATTGTTTATAGTTTATCTGTCACAGAATGTATAACTTAAAAGTTTTTACAGGCACTTTGTGTAATGACTCCTGACAAATCGCAGGTGGCTCGCATTAATCTCAAAAGTAGAAAAATTTAAGAGAGTAAAAAGATATTTCTACATACCCTATTTTTCTATCAGATAAAACCCTAAACACACATATTTATTGTTTGACTTCGCCTTGATATAATTAGGCTATGATTTACTTTAGTTTTGAATCTAAGTAATTTTTCTCCTTTAAAGAAGAAAGATTTTTAGCTTAGGAGATTTCTCTTAACAGAAAACTTGGGTACATTTTTCAAAAAATTCAGTTTTAATTTTACAATTATAGTCTTTCCCAGGAGAAGACAATGTTTAAGTTATGATAACATTGACAAGTTGCAGTGGAATGTGCATCCTGAACCTGACAGACTACATGGAGAGAATACATGAAAAAGTTTTTCAGAAATAATATTTGAACAGCAGGAACATCTTTGATAGCTATGAGGTTAATAAAAGTTTAAACCTACCAGGTTTTTTTTACAGATTATGGTATTAGCTAAGCTAAAGGATGGGGAGACCTGCCCAGCATAACAAGACTGGTCATGAGGTCCATATTGACCAATGGAATAATGTCAAAGTATAGTTTGACCGGTCAAAGAGGGAAGACTCCCTTTAAAGGAACGAGAACCTGTAAAGTCTTGAGTAAGTTCATTTCAGATTAATTGTGAATCTGTAATAAATCGCATGGTTCATTTTTAAATAACATATCCACCAGTGTTCTATATTTGAATGACATATTTTTACAGTTTAACATACACCACATATCTACAACCATTTTACATAATAAAATATTATATATAAACAGATTGTATGCGCAAATTGTAGTTTCTCTTGTGCTCATTTTTAAAATTAGCGTGCCTGTTGTCTTGCTAAATTAAGTATTGCAGTCAAATTTAAGGGATCACTGGCTTCACTGCATTATTAAATAATATTATCTAACTATTAACCTGCTCAAGATGTCATTCATTGAATGCAATCATTCCATTCAAGGTGTCATACCTTGTAAATATCTGACAACAAACAATTATTCCTGTAGGAAACTAGGGATAATATTTGAAAATTTGAAATTATATTTTCTTTATACAGCATTTATTCCTAAAAAAAAAGTTCTCTATGTTCCTGTTTTGTGGATTTTTAGTTTTAGTTAAAACATGTATAATCTTTACGTTAAATTTATTTAACAAAAAACCGTTTTCCTGTAAAGGATTATGAGTTTGAAATAGCAGATGGTTTAAGGAATGCTCCCAGTTAACACAAAAATATCTTTTAAATGTTAACAAAACATTTTGTAAAATGTTATAAAGATAATGCAGAAAAATATCAAAATCACGTTAAATTGTATGGCGCTAAAAATGTTTTCCCAATATTTTCCAAAACATGTCCATAATATCTGTAAAACGTCAATAAAATGTTACTAAATTTTGAAGACGATGTTTTAAAAATGTTTTCGAAATGTTTTAAATTATTGTTTTATGAGGTATGTTTATGGAATATCATTAAAATATTTGATAAAAATAAAAAAAAAACATTTTTAGAACATAATTCAAACATTTCTTCTTGTCTTAATGTTCAGAAAATGTTAAAAAAAACATTTACTATAATGTTTGATAAATGTTATATTCTAAAAACATCTTTGAAATATTTTCCAAACATTTTTCAAAACATGTCCATATCTTTAAAACATCATTAAAATGTTCCTGAATTTGTAGCCAATGTTTCAAAAATGTTTTGCATTAATGTTTTATGTGTATGTTTATGGAATATCAAACAAATGTTTGATCAAATTCAAAAAATTATTTTTAAAACAAAATTCAAACATTTCTCCAGGTAGTACTGTTCAGAAAATATAATCAGAACATTAAATAAAATGTTTGATAAATGTTTTCACATGTTATCTCCTTAAACATTTAGATTCTAATAATGTTTTTCACCATCTTTCAAATGTTTTCAATTATATTTGTTGAAGACTGTCCAGTGACCTATCGTTGTTAACTTCTATGCCATTTGGTTTCTGGTGGATAATTATCTCAGTTGGCAATCATACCAAATCTTCTCTTACATGAAATCTTACATGAAAAAAAAAAAAAAAATGAGCTCAAAACATCTGCTGTCATAGATATATCTCCCTTTGTCAGTTGTCTCTTGTTGAAGAATGTCTTTTTTGTTTTTTTTGTTGTTGGATTGATGTCTCATTGACATATCTCCTTTCATTGTTTTTTTCTGTTCTGAATTAACTGCCATGTATAACTTATCATGCATTCACTTAGCATTCCCCCCCCCCACCCCACCCATTTCAAATGTTTCTGTTGGTTTTAATTGCTGAACAAATGTTCCTTCTTCTTTTGATCTTTGTTTTAATTATGTTTAGCATGTCATTGTTTCTTAGATCACACAATCAACAAAATAAAAGATTGCAACAATAATTAAGGGAAGATATCGATTTATTTCATTTTTTAGTTCTCTTTTTCCTCCTCAACCATTCCTCTTTTTCTTTTGCAAGCTACATTCTTCTGAAATTTATATATAAAAATATCAGTCTTCCAAAAAACTATTGAAAATTCGTTTAATTTTTAAACCTGATAAACCAGTTATGTTCATATATATTAGTAACCATATTGAAAAGTGTCAATCAGGTGGCACCTCACAATATCAACCATTATATTTTATATTATTGAGGTGTTTAGCATTGTTATCACAGTTCTGCAGTGGGCATAGGACATTTGAGGGAAATAAAAAATGTACATGTGGTCATTTGAGTGCCGACATCATAGGCTATTTGAGCACCAGAATATTACCTGTATTTTTGAAAAGGACTTTTGAGCAAAGACAATTTTAAGTTTTATGACAGTAATTTGTTTTTTTACACTTAAAAGATGTTTAAAATTTTGTGCGTTATGAACTCAACATTTTATTAACTACATCCTCTTCAAAATCGCTGTTGTGAGCAGCGGTAACAGATTATATCTCACGAACAGAAGAGGTTCTCCTTCCTCATACTAATTTTTTTTTATCAAATGCCCTATGCTTCTTTTTATTTTTGCTGCAGTAGCATAAAATGACATACATTCAACTTCAAAGACGTGACTTCATTATTAAGTTGCTTTGATTTTATAAGCCATGTGATGAATTTATGTTGCTGCTTACAAAATAACACTTTGTCGAAACATGACATATGTGCCAACCACCATTTTCAAATATTTGATAAAATATAACAAGAGTGCACACGCTGAAATGTTTTGCCTTCTTTACTTACCATTGATTTTATGTTGATAGTCCTAAATATAAAGCTCTACTACAAGTTACACATAAACTTAACATGATCCAAGAAAATGAGGTCAAGGTCAGATAAACCAAACGAGAAATACATGTACACCTTACAATCATTCAATAAACCAAACATAGTTGACCTATTGCTTATAGTTTCTAAGAAACAGTCTTAACCAAGAAAACTTAACATTGACCAATGAACCATGAAAATGAGGTCAAGGTCAGATGAACCATGCCAGACAGACATGTACACCTTACAATCAATGTATGCATTAAATATATTTGACCTATTGCTTATAGTATCTAAGAAAAAAACTTAACCATGAAAACTTAACATTGACCAATGAACCATGAAAATGAGGTCAAGGTCAGATGATACATGCCAGACAGACATATACACCTTACAATTCTTCCATTCAACAAATACAGTTGATCTATTGCTTATAATTGAAGAAAAACAGACCAAAACACAAAAACTTAACACTGAGAAATGAACCGTGAAAATGAGGTCAAGGTAAAAAAAAATGCGAGACTGACATGTACATCATAAAATATTTCCATACACCAAATAGTTGACCTATTGCATATAGTATTAGAAAAAAAGACAAAAACTCAAAAACTTAACTTTGATCACTGAACCATGAAATGAGGTCGAGGTCAAATGAAAATTGTCTGACGGGCATGAGGACCTTGCAAGGTATGCACAAACTAAATATAGTTATCCTATTACTCATAGTAAGAAAGAAATTAACATTACAAAAAATGTTGCCTTTTTTTCAAGTAGTCACTGAACCATGAAAATGAGGTCAAGGACAATGGACATATGACAGACGGAAACTTTGTAACTTAAGGCATCTATATACAAAGTATGAAGCATCCATGTCTTCTAGCTTCTAAAATATAAAGCTTTTAAGAAGTTAGCCAACACCGCCATAGCCGCCAGACGACTATCCCTTCTGCGACAAAAGTCATAGGCGCGACAAAAATATGTTGACAAGTCCATATTTAAGAAGTAATACCTTCACAAAATTTGCTCCTCCAGGATGGTTTGGAGCATTTCTCAGGACTTCAGCCATTTCATACTCGATGTCCTTTATTTTAAACCTATCTTTTGTGGCTCTTCTAATTGATCCTGTAACAGATAATAAAGTCCATGAGAAATAATATATTCAATACAAGAAACAATGAAATATACATATTTTCACCATACATATTCAAAACATTTCAGTTTAAATAAATTTCAAGACGGCTCAATTTTTGATATTGAAGAATGCAGAATTCAGGGTCATCAATTTTAACTATAAATTAATGATGATGCACATCAGAAGGAGAGAACAGTTTAAGTCATGTTTTATTGCTATAAATATCTATTTAAACATAATTGTTCCCATATTTTGAGGAATTAAAGATAGCAATAACTTAAAAAACTTTTATAAACTTACTCAAAATAACTTTGCATGAACTAGTGTCCAAAAAGCACAGTTTCCCTTTTTGTCCAGTTAAACTGTACCTGGACATTAGTCCATTGGTAAAAATGGACCTCATTTGGCCTCTGACCACTGATGCCAGGTCTGCCCCTCCTCTCAATTTGGATAGTATAGTTATCTGAAATAAAAGAGACATTTGATCAAAAAGAGAGTTTTGTTTATAATTCTCATTTTTTTAACCCAATTTTTCATAAGCAGTCCAATTGTTTGAAGTTCTGAAACCTAAAATAAAAAATTCATTTCCTGAATTTGTGTTATATATTGAAACAATAGGATTCATTTTCTCCTTTTTTTCTCTTTAATTATAAACTCAACCAAACTTATGATTGAAAGTAGACATTTGTAACACCAGTGAACCCTTTTTTCCCCAAATTTTAAAAGAATAAAATAGATCTACTGCTTTTAAAAAAAAAAATACCTGAATTAAAAAAAATCAAGAACAGCCTGTAAATAAATAAACTCAAAATACCAATTTCTTTTGGAACTCCACATCTTCTTTTAGTCTTATTTCTAGATCCTCCATCATGGTGGCAGTGTTGATCTTTTCTGGAAGAACTTCCTCCAGAGACTCCCCAATTTCTTCCTCTTGTTTCAAAATGACAGCTGCCATTTTATCAAGTGTCAGCTTCATTGTGTCCATCTGCTTTTCCATGGTTTTCATTTGATCAAGCACTATTTAAATAAGTTTAAAAAAAAATAAACATATGACATTATCTTGCTTTATAGACATACAATGAATTTTTTTTAAATGTATTGGTTCATATTTTAAAACTTATTTTACATCAGTATTGATAACTATGAATATACTTTTATGAGATTTTCAGTAAGTAGAACTTTCAGTTGTCATAAATAAATAAAATATTTCTGCAAGAGAATATTAAATAACTAGAGGCTCTCAAGAGCCTGTGTCGCTCACCTGTATTTACTGATGCTTTCGGAAATCATGTAAAATATGGTTAAAATCATAATTAGTAGTATTAGATATTATAATGATATCTAAGATAACAAAAAAACTGCAAAATTTTTGTAAAATTACTAAATCAGGGGCAGCAACCCAACAGCGGGTTGTCGGATTCGTCTGTAAATTTCAGGGCAGATAAATCTAAATCTGATGAACATTTTTGCCACCTGTCTGATTTGCTCTAAATGCTTTAGTTTCAGAGATATAAACCAAAAACTGCATTTTCCCCCTATGTTCTATTTTTAACCAAGTTGGCCATGATGGTTGGAAGGTGGGGTCATCGGACAAATTTTTTAAACTAGATACCCTTATAATGATTATGGCCAAGTATGGTTAAATTTGTCTCAGTAGTTTCAGAGAAGAAGATTTTTGTAAAAATTTACGAAAAATTGTTAAAAATTGACTTAACTCCTAAAGGGGTCGACTGACAATTTTGGTCATGACAACTTATTTGTAGATCTTACTTTGCGGAACATTATTGCTGTTTACAGTTTATCTCTATCTATAATAATATTCAAGATAACAACCAAAAACTGCAAAATTTCCTTAAAATTACCAATTCAGGGGCAGCAACCCAACAACAGGTTGTCAGATTTGTCTGAAAATTTCAGGGCAAATAGATCTTGACCTGATAATCAGTTTTACCCTTGTCAGATTTACTCTTAATGCTTTGGTTTCAGAGATATAAGCCAAAATCTACATTTTACACCTATGTTCTATTTTTAGCGGTCATCTTGGTTGGTTGGCGGGGTCATCGGACACATTTTTTAAACTAGATACCCTAATGATGATTGTGGCTAAGTTTGGTTAAATTTGGCCTAGTGGTTTCAGAGGAGAAGATTTTTGTTAAAAGCTAACGACGACGGACGACGACGGATGCCAAGTGATGAGAAAAGCTCACTTGGCCCTTCGGGCCAGGTGAGCTAAAAATAACAATGAAATATGATAACAATAAAAGTAATAGTAACCTTGTGACATAAGGGGCAACTCTAGACGAC